TTATTCTGTGGTTTCATTTGCAGCTCTAAATGAGCTCCAGCCATCTCTTAAAAAAGTTGCATCTTAGGCTCATTCTTTCCCTGAATTCCAGACATGATAATGGCTAAGCATTTGTGTATAAATACATGGAATGTATAGAATTTAATTAATCTGGTCCTTCTGATATGCTCCCCACATTCATTCATTCATTCATTCATTCATTCATTCATACTGTTTTTCTCCACACATCACCTAAGTTTTAGGGTGCTGTGAATACACCCTGTACAATGAGCTGTGAGCATGGCACCCTGGTAGGAAGACCTCACAAGTGACAGCCCCACCATAGAACCAGTGCGGCCCTGTGTCAGTCTAAGCCAGCCTGATCACACGTCCTCCCCATGGGTGCTCAACCTCAGAACCAGGTTATGTGATTTGTTAGCCTTTTCCACTTTCACAGTTGTGAGATCCTGAAGTATGCTTGGAACTCAGGCTTGTCTGACTCTAACATTTATATTTTAACCCTACCATATTCTGTGCCAGATTAAATAAACAACAGAAAGACCTAAAGGAAATGTCCAATCCACAGAGTTACAGAGTTAAGATTGCTACTCAAAATGCCTGAGGGCTGGTTTAAAGGTTTTGTTCCACAGTAGACACTACTCTAAAGTGAGTCCTAAAAGAAATGTCAAATTAAGATCTTTTCTCTCTTAGAGAAGACAACAATTTATGGTATGCCCACAAGAATCAAAACTATGATATCTTTTACCATTTCTACTGGACAGTAAGCAGTGCCATCAATTCTTTTCACAACTTTGGCTTTGAGCACTGCAGTAGCATTATAAAAAATTGCTGCCTGGGGCTCCATTGCAAAAGTTTGAAACAGGATTTATAACTCTGATGTCAATATCTTAGCACTGTTTTCCAGCCTCCATGTTGGAGAGATCTGTCTATAGCTTTAGCAATAAATCCACGTTTGCTAGTCCCACTAGCTGTTCCAAATATTCTTTCAACTGTCTTTGTACACTATTATTTTACTAAAATGTGCTTTCAAGGATCTATCAGGCAAAGATTCGACCTCTTGGAGATATGTGCCTATGGAATAAAATATGCCAGTACAAATAGTTTAGCTACTAAGATTCACTAACTTTATGGTATAAACTGATTTACTGTTATGTACTTTATATTTTGTATGTTTGTATTACCTGAAGCTGGGTCTCTGGATCTACAAAAGACATGCCAGATCCAAGTACTGAGCTGTATAGTAAAAATTATAATGGATAGTGGACATAGAAAAACACAGGTGTCTCTATTTGATGTATTGTTAAATCTTATTAAAATGCAAAGACACTGGTTTCTTTATGGACAACACAGGAATGACTCTAAATGCTCATACATTCCATTTTGCACTTAGATAAACACCTCAATGCAAACACAGATTAATATTGAATACAAATGGCTGTCTAATTTTGTCTGATTTCTACCACTTTTTGGAACCACTCTTACTAATATTCTACTTTTAATTTTTGGTCCCTATTTATTGAACATATTTGTTAAATGATGTTTAAGTGTCAAAGGTTTGCTAATGTTCTTGGCTTCCTTTGCAGATTATCATAAAATGATGGTTTTTCAAATGATAAAACCCATCTTTCTATGTCTCCACTAGATCAAAGGCCAAGTCAGAATCCCCTTTAGCCTGAAGCTGCCATTAGAACACAGACCATTCGCTTCTCTGTATCTATTAAGAATAAGGAATCAAGGCCTTGAGGGGGATGTGAAAAGATTTAAAACAATTTCAAATGCAGGACAGAATCAAAATAACCCTAGGTAATCTACATTGGACTTCTGTAGGCTTGTTTGTGCTTCTTTTCTTTATGGTCTATCACACTGAATCTCCCTTATAGATAATATGAATTCATAAAATAGCTCAGTTGGTACAGTACAAGCAGAAACTGGACCCTAAATAGTGCAATACACTGGGTTCCTGCCTCTCTCCTCTGAAATATGTTATTATTTCATCTGAAAAATGTTATTCTTTCATTTGTTCAATATCATTATCTTTCTGCACATGGGTAGCCCATCAATTTTTTTCCAGTAAACCAAATGTGTGGAAAATACATAAATATTCCCTGCTCGAGCCTTTCACTCGAGGGCCAACACTTGGTTTTCTTTTTACTGTGTGTTTTTAATTCTACATAGTATACTTCTTTGCACATATTAAAAGTAAAACGAAAAAATATAAAAGACCAAAATCCAAAGGGTAAGCAATGTAGGAAGTAGGACGAGATGGAAAGGGAAGGGAACATAAAAAGAATTAAGAGGTGGTCTGCACAGAAGCCAATTCCCTACAATAAATGTAATCATTGTTAAGGCAAACATACACTAAAATACTAAACCTTAAGATGAGTCTTCAACCATGTCAATACAATTAATATACTATATGAATGAATGGATTATTTATACTGGCTTGTGAAATTATATAAATGGAAAGATTTATTGACTGGTTTCCTCCGTAAGGCACAGCCCATATCTGCAAGAAGCAGTGAAGACAAGACAATAGCTAGTTAAATCCTCTCAGAACCTACTCTTACAGGAGCATTAATTCTGAGACTTACTTCTTAGTGTGACTTAAAAGTATTTCACTTTTCAATACATCTGCCCACCTAAAATTACAGGTTGAAGCTCCTAGAAGGGACTTTTTGTTAATTCCCCACCTTTGTAGTAGGATTTGAAGCACAGTCTAAAGGATGGAAAAGTGGTTAAGTGAGGATTTTGTCTTACTGTTTTCTTGCTCATGACAAGAACTTAGTAAATATTGATAAAAATAAGACACTCATATTTTAACTGTCTGGAGGCCGAAAAGTTGGCCTTTGGTTAAAAGTTTTAGAGGCAGATTTCAACTGCTAATAGAAAAAAAAAATAGCTCATCTAGCCATATTAAACATCACACACTGTAGTGAGAGAGGAATGAAAGGGTAAATAAAAGGAATTAACAACTCTCCATGATGAATGTAATCAATTATGCATTTCAGGAGTACTAATAAAATTTTTAAAAATTAAATGAAATATTTCTAAAATTTAACTTCAAAGCAAATTCTGTACACTCATGTCTCTTAGAAGTTATTTGAAGTATTTATATGAATTAACATTTGATCATAGCTGACCATTAACAATCAACCTACTCTGGAGATGATGTGAGTAAGCAGTTTATGGTGGATATAAAAAGTGTGCTTCAAGAACATTCCCTTATTACCTCTTCACTATGGACACAGACAGCAGGCCCAATCATTCTGAGGACAGGGCCAGTGTAATGTGAGAGACACTCACTGAGCATGGATGCAAGTATCAGAGCCACAAGTAAGATGAAGGCTGTTGTCCTCATAGTGCTGAAGTGACCAGGGACAGCAAGATGTCATCAAAAGCAGCGACGTTCAGATGCACAGCAGCCACTCAGAGGGCGCCCTATTTATTGTGCACAGTTCCTGCTGCAGTTGAGAAACAGCTCTTTCCAGTAAGCAAACTCTGAGAAGCTGTCTGATAAGTCACCAAGGAATGTGATTCTCTTCTTAAGAAAGGGAGGTAATTGTCTATGCTGTTTCAAAAGCTACTGGAACTAAAACCTTGGTAGCATTTGCAGAGACATTTGTATAGCTTCTATGGTCATAAAACTTTATGAACACTTTTGCTACTTATTTGCAATGTGATCTTCATTAAAAACCCATGGGGAAGTTCTTATCACTATTTATTGTTGTAAAATAAGGAAACAGAGTGTCATGGAATTTAAATAATTGCAGTAAGATCACTGCCTATTGTAAAATTCCTCAAGAAGAGTGATCAGTAGGCCAGATTTACATGTTTTGCTATTTTCTATGCTTAACCTGTCTTCCTCCTACTACTGCAGTACCAGTTGGAAGGTGTTTCTGGCTGATGTGTCACACTGGATGGAGAAAAGATGTCTGACCAAAAACCTTGGCTCAACAAAAGCAAGAAATGCTCAATATTTTTCCAGCAGAAGAATAACTTACACATATGTGACCCATACATGTTCTATGATATTTTGAAGAGTGTGTAAAGAGCAATGTTGGTGTTGGCAGTCAGAAAGATGTTGTTAAATGCTAGCATTTGTTGTGCACGGGAAGAAATAGGTTGCTCTCCTAGCTTGAGAAGGGTGGAAGAGACTTGGTGCAGACATCAATGGTTACTGTGTCATAATTATGGTTCTTGATGCTTTAGGATGCACTAGGACAGGGTTAATAGAGAGGTGATAACTGAATTTTGTTCATCTGTCATATAGAAACTGTGACGGCTAGTATTTTGATCATCATATTAGCCTACCTTATGAGACAGGCAATGCCTAATTGTAATAGATCCATGTGTAATGTTCCAGGGTAGAAATACATCAGGAAAATAAGCCTTGAGAAATGGCTGAAGTAACAGGATACTTTTATGGTGAAGAGAATCAGTTTTTGTAGAGACAGAATATTCAAGTACTTGAAAGTCTGTTCACTGGAACAAGAGTTGGATTTTTGGTGTTATGGTCTTGTGGGCTCTGACAGCCAGTTGCTTAGGATGTTTTTGACTCTCGGGAGCACAGCATCCCAGTGATCAGGCTCAATAGCAACAGTTATGTTCCTTATGAAGAAATAACTTCTACATGTGAGTTGTGGTCAAGCTGGGCTCGTGAGGAATTACATTGTGTGTTTAGCAAGAAATGGACAGAAAAACCTTCCTTCAAGCAGTAACTTCTTGGAGTGAAGGAAGTTTCCTTTTAAGATACTTGGTATCTTGCAGGTAAACATAAAGGGTCAGTATGGTTCATAGACTAGTTCACACTAGCTAAAGACCTCAGTAGAAGATGTTGTTTTCTGGTTGTTCTCTGCATGTATGTGCACATGTACAAGTATGAAAGCACTAGTTTTCCACTACAGTTTCTTGGAATTTTTTCACAGAAGTTCCTTCAGAATAAAAGAATTGCATGTTTCTCAAATATCTTTTATAATGTAGATAGCATAGCTGATCTCAAGTACATATAAACACAAGGGAATGATGAGTCTTTATTGAGGTATAAAATAAGCCAATCTGTCAGTCAGGCATGAGTCTGTAGGAAACAACACAGTGATTTTCTTCATTCTGCAGTGATGACTGGATCTGGCTCTGCCTACACAGAACATCAGCGGAGATTGAAAGAGTGTAGTCAGAGCCCAGGAATGAGAAGATGATGAAATATCACGGCATTCTATTCACACCCAGGGGGAAGTTAGCATTGTCCTTCATGAAGAAGCTGAATTTTTCCATTACTTTTCCTAAGGAAAGATATTTTTAAGAAGATTAATTTATATAGGAGAAAATCTGGATGAGATTACAGTTGGAAAGAACTATAGAGATGACGAGGTGGGGGCTCCTTTTTACAATGAGAAAACTGGGCCTCAGAAAAGTGCTGTCTTTTCTTTATGGAGCTTCTGGCCGAGGCCCATGCAGAATGTCTGCAGCCAAATGGTGATTCTATCATCTCTGCTGCCTTCATGGATCCAGAGGCTCATTTATCCTTGATGGTTTAAAACAACACAACACAGAATTTTGACGAAGGAAGTTGCAGAGGTCTGTCCCTCATTTTTCCTGGTCAGCAAGATTTGAGAGAAAGCTGTGTCTTGCACTAGTGAAGAGGACTTCACCATAGTTTCCTCTCAGTGTCCCTGGAAAGCAACTAGTTTCCAGGTCATGAGCCCAGTGTGTTTCTGTGAACAACTTAGGTCTGATATTGTAGCTTCCTAGATAATTACAAAAGTGAAAAACACAAGACCTAAAGCAAGTAGCCGAAAGCTAGTGTTTTAGAAGGCAATTAATGATGTTGTGTAGTAGTGAGACCGTAGTTGCTAAAGTGTATGTGTTTCACTCAAAAAAGATGGTTACAGTTTTTCAAAGCACACTGCACATGCCAAACAAAATACTCAAATGAAAGCTGCCAACGAGATCCTGGTCCAAGTTCTTAGAGCTTGGTTCTCTTATTTGAGATAAAAGAAAACCAATCATACTTATTGTCCACTTTTCCTAAAGGTGAAAGGTACTTAGATGTTTTAAGAAACAGGATACATGACCTTCGCTTATCTCAGAATCAAGCTGTATTTAAGATTGTTAGGTGCCTGAGAGGTCACACAGCATAGCCTTTTGCTATTATTTTATGATGTAGAGCTCAGGATCCTTTCTTTAGACAAGATGCTCTGTGAAATTCCAGCACCAAAAACAGTTAAAACCTGTGGTTTTGGTGGGAGATCCTCTAACGATTCCTGACTTGCTCCAGCTACCACTGGATGCCATAGGTATCTGCTTGAGCACACATGGTCTTGTACAATTGACAGACAGGACTGAAAGAGCCTGACCCAACCCTGATCTGACTGCACAACAGTTTTCTGACCATACTGGCTGTTTTGGGAGGGAATATATAGTCTATGGGGTGTTCAGTAGGTTGCTGGGAACAGGAGGGATTGTAGTAAACATTGACCCCAGCCCCCTTTTTACTCCCTGAGAGGTACTCACAAGCTCTCTGTACACAAGTGACATTCATTCCCATAGGTGATATAGTCAGAACCACAAACTGGCAGGTACGTGATGGGGCAAGGGATGGCCACCACTGGGTACTTCTTGTAAATGCTGCAGTCAACCTAGTGAAGCCCAAGAGAATGTCTTCATTGTCTATCCAAGCTCAAGCCAAGCTCCGCTGGCTCTGAGACTGGAAGTGTGAGTTCAGATGGCCTGGTGCTGTCAAGACTACTTTTATACAAAATATGCCATCTATGACAAGATGAAGACGAGTAACATTAAATCTATTTAATAATTTCTGTGCCAGGCAATTTAAATCTGCATGAAATTAATTTGCTTTATATTTAGAACAACTGAATCAGATAATTTCTACTATTACTTATACTTAAAGATGGAGAGATTAAAGCTTAAAAGACATGATTTGCATAATATCAATGCTTCTAAATGGTACACTTGATTTTAATCCAAAGCCTGTGTAACTTAATCAAGGCACTTCAACCCAGTCTCTCATGCATTGTCTCTTGCATGAAAACATAAGTTATGTGAAAATCAACCCTCCCTCTCTGAACTCTGGATTTAAAAGAAATAATTTGGGGAGGTATTGTTATTATATTTATGCCATATTTCTTCACTTACATTGTGAAAAGCAGAAATATTTCAATATTTCTGTTTGCATAACCTTTTGACTCTTCTGAATACACAGAATTAATCATGCATGTGTGTCTCAAAAGGATTTTCTAGCTAATTAACAGTCAATAGAAATTGACATAAAATATTATTTGACATACTTACAGTTGTTAAGGGCTTACTGTTGACTTCTGAAAGAGACGGATAAAATGTGAAAAATAAAGCATCGAATCTCATTAGCTAATGTATGTTTTGTCCTCTAATTAAAGACTGTGTATTTCCTTTGGTAATGAGTCTCAGCACACTCCCAAACTCATGCAAAATCCCAGCTGTCTAACTGAGGAAAGGCCAGTGAGTTATATTAGCCTTTGTTTCAGGCAAGGGGATTGCCTAAATTTTCTCTCGTTATTGACTAAGAGACATTTTCTGGAGCTTATAATGTCTTTGACAGTAGTGGTTGAAAGTCAATAGTACTAAGTACTACAGTCATCACTCCTAGTAATATCTTCTCCCACACAATTGAAATAAAAGGATGCAGTGGAATGCTGTAAAGTATTAGAAACTTGTTTTACTTAAGCACTTTTCCACCACAAAAATATCTAAGTTTGGCTGTTATCCTGTGGAAAATTGTGTTTTACTTTCGTCTTCCTACATCGACTTAGGAAGACATTTATGCTTTTCTGCATGTTTACACCTGAGCAATGACATCTAATAATACAAACTAATTTCAGTGTCTTAATAAACATAGATGTAGGTGCATATAAGAATCTTTTGCAAAAACATTAGACCCAAATCCCTCAACTCCAATGCCAGCTGGAATGTAAAATCCTTCCTTTTCAGAGCAGGCTTATTTCTCTTATATATCAGCACACTTCACATCCATATAAAAAATACTTCTCTCAGATACTTAGAAGGGATCATTTGGAGAAAAAAGTTTGAGATTGTACAGAGCACTGACATTCTTAACTCACCTGAACTGCTGCAGAAATGGCTCAGCGTGCAGAGCACAAGGAGACCCCAAAGGATCTTCATGGCAGAGATGGCTCTAGGTTGTCACACAGCTGAATGCACTATGCCTTAGGGAAGAGGTCATGTTTATAAGGTGAGCCTTGGTTTCTCCACCTTTCCTGTGAGGTAATCCAGAGTCAGTTTGGGCTGAGAAGGGATCTTGATACATGTCACACCCTGGGTGATGTTGCAGCCCTTGTACTTAATTGTCACTACCTATCTGAAGAAAACTTTGATTATTCAAGGTGAGTGGTATTTTTCTGCCTGTTGCATAGGTGGGGACTGTTACTTAGAATCTCAAACTTCACAGAGGAGAGATTAAGTCTGAGCTCCTTAGTTGGGAATTTTGTGAAAAATTCAAGCTTCTTTAGTTTTACCAAAATGAATGATATTAACTCAGATTGGCCAAATAATAAGTGTTTATATTTTGGTAAATGAGAAAATGATGCTTTATTTTTGAAGGAATGCCCCTATGTAGCAAGCTTCTGGAGGCTGATGAAAAGAACAGTAACTTAAACTTTATGAAGCTTGTAGCAGGGGACTGACATACTACCTTTCACATTTTCTAATTATGCCATCTTAGATAAGTCATTCATACTTTGGGAGCCTTTGTCAATCAGGAAGACTTGATGATACTGTGGCAACATATAACTCTGTGATTTTAGAGACTGAAAACAATACAAACTATACATGGTGGTTAGTGGATGGTGCTGCATAGACTTTACTCTGACTTCTACCTGGACAGAATTGTCTCTGTCTGGAATATAGTTGTCAGATGCAGTGAAGATGCATTCCTGAGGATTTCCTTTTTTAGCAGTGAAATAAATATTCCAGTCCAGAAGTGATATGACTGCCATGTGATTGTCACATGGCTTTACGCAGCCATAGAGATTACAGAGTAAATGCAGTTAACCTCATCTTATCCCCTCAAAGCCAGAGGTGAGAAATTGGAAATACACACATTCTTCCTTTAATGACCTGTTTATCAACTGTTTCAACTTACACATGGGGTGAGATGTTCAGGGTTTTGACCTATTATTCAGACTTATAACCCATCTTTTTGTTGTTGTTGCTGTTCAGTTCTTTGTATTTTATTTTATAGAACCTCAATATCATTTTTAGACAATACACCTTATTATACAGTACTGTAATATTTGCTGACTTGTAGCACAGTACAGTACTGCAGGTTTATGTTCAACTATACATCATGGTTCTGCATATAAGGGTTATGAAAAGAAGAGAAAAGTTATCAGGCTGGAGTTTCCTTTGACCATCTCTTTGTTCTGAATATTGTAACGTGCACACTATATACAATTTTTTATTTGGGAACTAATTCATTTAACTTCCTAGTCACAGGGATAGAATTTAGTAAATAAAAATTGTTTGTAGTTGGCTCCCAACATAGACATTGCCTGTGAGTTTCATCCTTGTTCAGTGGAGTTTATTGTTAGCCCCATGAAAGGAATGTGATTAGAGTTATTCACAAGAAAATCTGTTCTAAAGTTCAGTGTATTTAAGTTTGTTATGAAAGACAGTAAACATGGGAGCACAGCATTATGTTTCATAGGAACCTTTTTTACATATGATTTAAAGACTGCATTCTAAAATAGTGAAAAAGCAGTATGATGAATACACAAATAAGCAACATAGTTATTATCAAGTATTATGTACTATATATAAGCCCTGCATTTTTATATGCCTGACAGTGTAGCAGAGTTGTTTACACAAGTAGCATTACAATCAGGTGAGTAAAGCATGGCACCATAGCACTGTGATGCCTGTAACATTTCTAGACAATAGAAATTTTTAGCTCCATTGTAGCCACAAGGGATGATCAGTCTAAATGTGGTATATTATTGACTGAAACATTGTTATACAGGGCATGGTTGCATATATAAAATCACGTATGGATGTGTATGTGTGGTTAATGCGTATGAGAGTGTGTTCCCACATGCATGCGAGTGTGTTGTCTCTCAGGTTGCCAAACTCATTATCAGATCTTGATAGATGGCAGGTATATTATAGAATGTGATTTTCATGACAACTCACTGTAGAAGGAGTTTTTATTACCCTAATTTAACAATGAGTAAATTGAGGCTCAGAAAGGATTTAAGCAATCCCAAAACCATGGTCACTTAATGGAGGAGACTACGCAGAGTTCAGTCTTGGAAAGAATGTGAAGGTTTTAATAAAGAGTGGTAACAGTAAGTTTTATTGTTCACTATGGAAGTTTAAAGATAATGGATACTGGGAAAAAGCCGTTATGCCATTATGTTTCAAGATGAGATGCACATATTAGTCTGGAAATGCACCATCAGCCAAGATAAGTAAGAATGTGATCAAGAGATGATGAAGATGATGTGGAATTAAAGAAGCCGAGGCTTCAACATTGTCATGCATAGACAGAGCCCATCTTAATGACAAAGGGAGCGAGAAGTGTAAGATATACGGTGAAGGGCGACTAACTAGAGTCATACAGAAGGTAGGAGATAAGATTAGGAGTACGGATAGAACATCTCTCCCTTTGACACAGAAGACACATATAAGTAGTTGAATATAGAGACTGATATTTTGAAGAGTAGGGAAGGGTCAGTGAAGGTGTTGGCTGTAAGGAAGGTGTTGTTAAATGCTAGCATTCCTTTGTGCAGTGGAAGAGTTAAGTTTCTCTGATAGCTTGAGGAGAATGGAAGAGACTTGGTACAGACATCAATGGTAACATGTCACATAGTCAACAATGGACATAAAGATTGAGGACTGGTAGTTAAAGTTAGCACCAGATTTTAGAAGGATCAATTAGTACCAAATTATGTATTTCTCTTAAATCACATTAAGACCATCAATAAAAATTGATGAAGACTGACTTCATGGATAGGAGATGAGTTCTTCAGAGATTTAACGGGGCAATAAACATTGTTTCAGACTTGGGAGAGCGTCAAATATCTTCCAGAAAGTTCTGATAAACTTGAAAGTTGCAAACATTTACATGTTTAGAGTTTAGGCAAAATGTAGACTCAGTAGGTGTGGAGAATATGAATAATTGTTTTTGAAGTCTGTGGCTAATAGGCAAAGTGACAGATGTAATTATTTTAGGGGTGGGGCTGAATTAACAATCCTCAGGGTATATCCAATTGTAAAACCAAATGAAGGATGGATGAAGACTAAGTTCTCTGGATTCAGAAGTGTGAGAAAAATTAAGGTCAAGAGATCACCTGTGAGGTTGCTTTGGGCTTTAGTAGCTATTGATGGAAAGAGGGGACTTTCCATCTGATTAGTGAGGCACAAACTAGCGAGGATCTTTTGGGGAATGAGAAACGAAGCCTGTAAATGTAAAAAATGGCCCACTGCAAGTTGAAAGCAGTTTTATAAATTCCTCTTTATAGTCCCGTACGGAGTGGTGGTAAATATCTGAGCCTTGTGGGGTAGGATCGCTATGACCGTGGGACTATCCTGGGGAAGGCAGGGTGACATTAATGCTGAAAGACATAAAAAGGAAGGAAAGACAAGTGTTTGAGAGTATTGGGAATTTCTTCCCGGTGGATTTGGGGGTGTCACAGGAAAGCATGATTATTCATTGGCGGGCTAGAGGAGTGTGAGGGAGGTAAATTGGGGGAGAGTCTGAATGGAGAGTTTCTGGGTCAGTGAGCTGGAGGGACAGAGGAAAGCCAGAGTTGCAGCTGGGTAGACATCCAGGAGTAAAACAGTAGCCCGTCAGCGTGGAGCGCCATAAAAAAGAGCCATGTATGGTACTAAGCACTTACGACTATGTTCTAGAGCTGTGCTACACCTCCTACATGTGTTATCATTTAAAACTTAAACAGTTGTCCTGGGACAGTTCTAAACCGCACATCTGCATCTGGCTGGGCTAGTTCTAGTCTTCGTTTTCCTTCTTTCTTTCCTGTGTTTCCTTCACTCTCCCTCCAGTTCATTTTTCTTTCTTTCTTTTTTGTGATTCAGCCCCATTATGATCAGGCCCTTATGTGAACAGGGTCCAGGGAACTAGAAATCTGGATATTTTCTTTTAAGCTTGGATGTGACTCAATTAATTTTCCTTCCTCAATGAAAATAGGCAGCTAGCTGAAGCAGGAATCTACGTATTTTTGTATTGCATGCATTTAATTTTGTGAAGCGACCGATGACAAATAGCTCTAGTCATGGAATAAGATGATGGCATGAACTGGAACCACAGTTTTTTTTTCCTTGTGATTCATGATACTTCTGGGTGACTCGGCTTAGTGGGTGTAGATTTAGATCGCTAGGTCATTCTGCCCCATTGCATATAGGAAGTGGCTTCCAGTGAGGCTGTATTGGAGGGAATTTAAAGGGACACACAGGGAAGGAAGAAGGGAAAAGACCAGATCTGATTCACTTGAATGCAAGTCTGTGCTGTTACAAAGGTCCCAGCATCCTCCTTGCTGTGTCTTCTTCTGCACCCTGCTCTGGCCACATACCTTGGGGTCCACTCTTCTTCTCATGTGCGCTCTACTGCACAGAGCCCCACTGATATGACCTCACTTAACCTTAATCACTCCCTTAATATCCATGTCTCTAACTACAGTCACATGGATAGAGTTTCAACATGATTTTGGGGGCACTTGATTCAATTTTACTCTCCACTTATGAGCTAACATTTGCTTCAAGTATCTGGCATTTCCTCACAGTATAAGCACGTGCTTCTCTGATCTTCCTAAGGTCCTTTGAGATTTTGAGCACTGAACCTCAGTGCTGGGTTGGTTTTGTCGCTTTGATATCACCCTTGTTCCCTTTTTATCCCTTTGAGACACCACTTGAAGCAGACAAGCAGAGATGGTCTTTCGCTTAGCCATCCTGAGCATACACCCTGAAATGTGTAAAGTGAACTTCCCTTGTCAGGACTTCTCTCACTTGGAACCGATCCTCTGGCACCCACCACACACCCTAATATGCACTGTCACCCTCATACATTTTTCAAATGTAATCCCAGTCTTTCCTTGTCTTATTCTATTTTTCTGCACTGCCAAGTTGTAACGATTTTACTGTTCTCACCTTTCTCCATAAGTATCTCCTGCCGATGATGATGCTTCTTTTATCCAGGCTGCCTTCTATTCCTCACAACAGCAACACATCCAGGATTTCCT